TGCGGCTGCAGGAGAACCCAGCTACACCTGGGCCCAATGCAGGGACCCTCAGCCCAGCAGCTTTTCACTTTTCTCTCCCAGCCCTGGTGGTGCGCTCCCTGGACTGCTGCCAAGGCCGGGCCCCCGGGCCAGCTCCCCGCTTTCTAGACGCCCCGCCTGCTTCTACCCAGGTGACCTTCATCCCCAATCAAGCCGCCTAGCTCTGCTCCAGGTGCAGCTAATGGCTACCTGGCCTGGGGGGGGATCACACGATAAATGGCTCCCCGCCTCGCTGCTCGCGCTTTTCTAACTCGCTCTCCCGCCCCCCCGCCGGCTTGTTGCTCTTTCCTGGGCTGGAGCCGGCTCCCTGCCCCGCCTCACTGGCGCCGCTCTGCGCCCTGCGCAATTCCCATCGGCCTGGCTGGAGAGGGGGCGACCTGCGGCGCCCATGCGGGGGCCGGGCCGTGGCTTCGCACAGCGCCGCTCCCATCGGTTCTGCGGGTCGCCTGTCTCCACCCCGAGCGGGGCTTGCGGAGGAGCAGCCCTGGCGGGCCGAAGCGCTCTCCGAGCGGGGGCAGCCCGGTGGGTCCGGGGAGGGGCTGCTGGATCCCAGCGGGCCTTGCTCTGCCCGGCTCCGGAGAGCCCCGCGGAGCGCGCCGCGCGGCTTGGAATTCAGCATCCCCGGCGGGTTTTGCGCCGCGTCTGTCGGGGCGGGGGCGGGGCGGGTCTGCGCTTCACCCTCCCTCCGCCTGGCACCGCAGTCTGACGGGCCGGGCTCGCCTCGGGGCCCCCCGCTCCTGCAGGAGCAGCCAGCGCAGGGCAACGCGCTCCCCGGCGGCTGGCGAGGCTGGGTTGCCACGGAGACACTGGCAGCGCGCTGCGCTCCGCGCCCCAGCGGGCTGGGACGCCTGAGAGCAACAGGCCGGCTCCAACCCGCCTGCCGGGGGGCGCGTCAGCCCCTTCCCCGGCCGGGCCTGGAGCCCTCCTGCCGGCAGCGCCGCGGCCCCGGCACGGACCCCTGCGCCACAGCCTGGCCGGCTGCCGCGCCGGCCCCCGGGGGCGCTGAGCCGGGGCGGCGGCCGAGGAGGTGAGCGCCAGCCTCCTGCCGAGCAAGCGCCGCGCCGCGCCGGGGTGGGGATGCTCATTTCAGGCCTTGCAGCCGCCGCTCCGGGTGAGCAGATGCGCCCCGCGCGCACCCAGCAGGCGGCCTGGCCCGTGTCCGCGGGGCAGGTCTAGAGCAAGGCACCGGTGTGCGGGCCAATAGTGCAGCCAGGGCGCGTGTTTACAGTGGGGGATCCATGGATCTGCCCCTGGGGGGAGGGGAGAAGGGACCTGACCCGCCCACCAGAATGGCAGATATTGAAAGGCGGGGAAGGAGCAGGACAAACTCCCTGCACACTGGGCCGCCCAGCAGGTGCTGGCAGTGAGTCCGTGCATGTGGGTTTGAGCACCCGGTCAGCTGCGCCCCTCGCCACGGGCAGCAACCGAGCCCAGGAGAGCCGACAGCTTTGCAGGGCCCCAGGGCACGGGGGGAGAGGGGCCGGCTTCATGCTCCCTGAAGGGACTGGGCCTGGCGTAGAAAGGGCAGAGCTGGGCAGCCAGCCCTCGGCCCCGCCCGGACCGCAGCGTGGCCCCCTCGGCCCCGCCCGGACCGCAGCGTGGCCCCCTCGGCCCCGCCCGGACCGCAGCGTGGCCCCCTCGGCCCCGCCCGGACCGCAGCGTGGCCCCCTCGGCCCCGCCCGGACCGCAGCGTGGCCCCCTCGGCCCCGCCCGGACCGCAGCGTGGCCCCCTCGGCCCCGCCCGGACCGCAGCGTGGCCCCCTCGGCCCCGCCCGGACCGCAGCGTGGCCCCCTCGGCCCCGCCCGGACCGCAGCGTGGCCCCCTCGGCCCCGCCCGGACCGCAGCGTGGCCCCCTCGGCCCCGCCCGGACCGCAGCGTGGCCCCCTCGGCCCCGCCCGGACCGCAGCGTGGCCCCCTCGGCCCCGCCCGGACCGCAGCGTGGCCCCCTCGGCCCCGCCCGGACCGCAGCGTGGCCCCCTCGGCCCCGCCCGGACCGCAGCGTGGCCCCCTCGGCCCCGCCCGGACCGCAGCGTGGCCCCCTCGGCCCCGCCCGGACCGCAGCGTGGCCCCCTCGGCCCCGCCCGGACCGCAGCGTGGCCCCCTCGGCCCCGCCCGGACCGCAGCGTGGCCCCCTCGGCCCCGCCCGGACCGCAGCGTGGTCCCCTTGGCCCCCCCCGGACCGCAGCGTGGGTCACTTGGCCCTGCCCGCACTGCTGTGGCCCCTTTGGCCCCGCCTGGACCGCAGCGTGGGTCCCTTGGCCCTTGACTCCACCTGGACTGCAGCATCTCCCCCTCGACCCTACCCGGACCTCAGTGTGCCCCCCTTCAGCCCACATTGCTGCCTGGAGCACCTTGCACAGCACGCCAGCAGCAGTTTAAAGGCCCAGGGCTGTGCAGACCACTGCTGCTACCACGGCAAGCCCCAGCCCCTTTTGAATTGCCAGGCCCCAGGGCAGTTGTCCCCTTTGCTTCCCCCTCAGGAGGCCTGCTTGGCCCCTGCCTTCCTGGCACGGTGAGCAGAGCCAAGGCCCAGATGGGCCGTGGAGACCGAGCACACCTCTCGCCCTATCCACGCTCTCTGCAGGGCAGGACGCGGGTTGCCACGGTCAGGCTATGTATTACAATGGTAGGGCTACCCCGTGTCTCCTAAGTGACTTGCCACGGGACATCAGAACAGGTGCGTGTTAGAGATGAGGGGCTCTAATATTTATTTCATTTTCTTTCTTTTCTAGAGGACTACGTCTACACTGGCATGATTTTCCGCAAATGCTTTTAACAAAGTTTTCAGTTAAAAGCCTTTTCGGAACAGAGCATCTAGATTGGCAGGATGCTTTTCCCAAAAGCACTTTTTGCAGAAAAGCGTCCATGGCCAATCTAGACGCACTTTTCCACAAAAAAGCCTCGATCGCCATTTTCACGATTGGGGCTTTTTTGCGGGAAAACAAATCTGAGCTGTCTACACTGGCCCTTTTGCACAAAAGTTCTGTGCAAAAGGACTTTTGCCCGAATGGGAGCAGCATAGTATTTCTGCAAGAGCACTGACAATCCTACATGAGATGGTCAGTGCTTTTGCGGAAATTCAAGCAGCCAGTGTAGACAGCTGGCAAGTTTTTCCGGAAAAGCGGCTGATTTTCCGGAAAAACTGGCCAGTCTAGACACAGCCTAGGAGTTGCATACAATGCTCCTGCCAGCTAATTGCTAAGTTATCTGCCAAAAATCACCCTAGTTCTCCAGTGCCTTAGTAGCCCTAGAAAGAGATATGTGTGGAGGGGAGGGGGTGAATGGGATTGGTCAGCCCTAGTTTGATGCTCAGTAACCCTGCTGTAGCTGCTGTCCTCAGTCTGCCCCCCCATGCTCTTACTCTCTTCCACCCCTCCCGATATGTACAGGTCACACACACACCCCCAACCAAAATCTGAAATGGTGCCCCTGCTTACCCCAGGTCAACCCCAGACACTTGCAACCGACCCTATTGTAAACTGTACAGAAGTATCAAGTGGGGAAACGGAGACGGAGCTTGATCCTGCCTTGAGGGCGGGGGGCTGGACTCGATGACCTCTCGAGGTCCCTTCCAGTCCTATTATTCTATGATTCCTATTATTCTATGAAACCAGGAGAGCTATTTCCAAGGTTAAAGCAGGTAAACAGAGCGACGCGACTGACACAATCTGACATTTCAAAAGGGAATACAAGGTTCTGAAATAAGCGAGCTCTGGGGTCCTTTAGAGCTAACCCAGACAAAGCACTGGTGATCTTTTGCTTATGCCTAGTCAACCTTGCCCCTCAGATGCCGAGAAACAGAGACAATCCGTTCCTTCTCCCTGGGGCTCTTAGCCCCTTCCTGCACTGAGCTGCAAACAGCAGAGGAGAGAATTCAGCTGGCATGGCTCATCTTTGGGTGTGGGGTAGAACAACAGAGACTTCTGTCCTCTCTCATGCCCCACACTAGACCATCTGGTGTCCCGCTAGTGTTGATGGACCGTTCCTGTTGGGAGATCAGCATCTTACACTAGTGAATGTGCCTCAGCGGTCTGGTGAGCTCACGCTCAGCTGTTCCCTTACAAAGCGGGGTGCAGATGTTCTGAGCGAGAGGGACGCCGGCTGCAACTCACAAGCCCTTCGAAAAAGACTCGGCACATTTATAACCCTGGTGCCTGCTTTACCTGTGCTGGCTCCAGTGGCTCTGCCAGGCATTTGTCACTGTTCCACTGAGACACGGGCCGTCGGCGCAGCTGGCACCTGGCCTGCTGCCATCACAGGCCCACTGCAGACTAGCAGCAGTGCCAGCTGCCTACCGCCCCGGCCCACAAGCCCCAG